GCCATTCCCAACTCCTCTCTCAACACCATTCCCAGTGCCTCTCCTGCCATCGCCCTCAATGCTGCCCCCGGCGCCCCTCCTGATGCCGCTCCCGATCCCTCTGCCAACGCCGCCTCCCGACGGAGCCGCCGGCTTGCCTGCTCCCTGAAGCACGCGAACGGGCCGGTTCCGGTTGATTGCCATGATCTCCCGGATGCGATCCCAGTTGGATTTTCTCAACGTGAAGGTGCATGTGGTGGCGCCCTGGTCGTAGCCCACCAGGCAGAGGCGCGACTGGGGAGTGTACCCCTCCGCCCTGGCGGTCACCCGGTACTCGCCGGGATTCAGCAGCCTCCAGTAGTCTCCCGTTGCCGCTGTTTGCATGAAGAGTCATTAAAATCCAAATGACAGTAAACGACAAAATTAAATGGCAAAATAAATATATTCTGAATCACAAATTCTTACAATGAGTCAAGAAAATTAATCTATGGATGACTGACATGCAGACAGATCTGGGAGATCTTCCAAATAATCAATTACCTATTTACTCTTGATTAACTAATAAACAAATGAATTAAAGTGTCTCAAACACAGAACAATATTCAGTTAAGAATCATATACACATCATGTTTGTCTTCCCTGATTTTATATTTGAATACAGGTTACAGTCCAGGGGTCTCATTCATTAATGTAAAATAAGTCCTAAAAGTGTGTTTGTGAATCGCTGGTACGTACAGGCAAATTGGTATGTATTACTGGTTTGTATGAACAGCCAGAGAAAACAAACGTTGATAAATCACACGCATTGTAAAGACTAAAGAAAGGTCCTCTATAGACCATATATGGAACACAACTTCCGCATTAATACACGTCTAACCGAAAAATAGGAGAACGTGTTGCATAATTGGAAACTGCGAAGAGGCAAATACACTTACATCCTTATTCCTCTTTGTAATATATTTTGCACTATACACTTGAATTGTTATTTTGTAACTATTTTGCTGTTAAGAGATAAAGCAAAAAAAAAAACACACACACACATGGAGAGGAGGAAAAACTGAATTTACTGAGAATGAGATGGAAGTTTTGCTGGACTTAATAGCAAAAATCAAATAGGTTTTGTTTGGCAACTTTACCAGTGGTTTTGTTTGGTAAAGTTGTTTGGCAACTTTACCAGTGGCCTGTCAAAGAACCCAGACGGACCCAGCATGGGGAATGGTGACACATGCAGCTAATGCTGTGTCACCTGTAACGTGAAAAGTGGCACAGGTGAGGAAGAAGTGGTTTGATCTGAAAATGACCACAAAAAAAAAGGATCGCAGCCCACAGGGGCGGCCCAAACACCCCATCAGTGTCAGCTTTGGGTACAAAAGCTGCCATTCAGGAACAAAACATCCCTGACAGCAGGTGGGCAGGGTTCCGCTGATCCGCTAACTGCTAATTAGCGAACCTAACTTTCCCATTAGAGGATTAGTGTCTCTGGTAACTTTGAAAACTGTTAGTGGACCAGTTAGCTTCCACTAAATATAGTTCTGCTAACTGTATATCTGGAACCGTTTCTTTGCAGGTAAATAAAGTTTAACGGTCAAAAACGTTTATGTGTAAAATGACACATATTGGTTATCGTTAGCTTCTTCTAATATTTTTAGAATTAGAATTTTATTATCGAATTAGACTTTTGAGTTAGCAGTTATAGAAGCTAACTTTTTGGTTAGTTGTGCCCACCACTGCTTGGCAGGTGGTGCAGCTCCGTCACCCATGGAAGAGGCCGGGCTCACAGAAATAGGTGAGGTACTTTTGTGGTTGTGTTTAACTGGCTGTGGCAAGTAATGTGTGTCATACACTATAGTAGACCAAAGAGTGAATGTTGCCATAAATGAATTGCGCCAGACACGTTAGTTGTTTTGTACTGCATATATTTAGTAACAGTGATATATTATTTCTTTGAGCATGGACCTTATATGACATTGGAATGACTCCTGTTCATTAGCATGACCTGCCTGCACGTACTTTGTATGAATATAACTATATCATTCTATTTGTCACGGTTGAATGTTAAGTGGGAGTCTGTGCGTATCCTATGTGCCGATCGGTTTGCTTCAGTTATGCTTCTCTGTCATTAGGGGTTTGTGCGTATGTATGGTTGGGAGTTTTCGTAAATATACGCACATTTCTACACACAGGAAGAAACTGATTAATACTATCCCATGCGTAAAAATGTGCGATGCATGGTTTATGCACAAAACTGTTTGTACGCACGGTTGATGAATGAGAGCCCGGTAATCCAACCTTGGATCAATGCCGATAAGCTACAAACAGAACAGACGCTCACGTCACCTGCTTTGACGTCATGTTTGATCCCCTCCACGGATATGGTAGCGTTGCCGATGGGGTTTCCGTCCATGTCCCTTACCAGACCCTTGATGCCACGGTGCACCTGGCAACACATGGAGATGTTTATCTGCTTAGGGCAAATAATTTCTATATAGTAAATATACTGATGGCTGCACAACCTTGAATAATCATCGGCCAGTAAACATCTGTAACATCTGGTTCCTTTAAACTGTGCATTTACAGAACATAATTCTTCAAAGAAAAATAGCTCTACTGTGATAGTTCACAGGAATGAAAGGTCGTCATAGAGCTGCATAGTTTTTGGGAAATCCTTGTAACAGCAGCGATTTACGTCAGATTTTATCAGACCCAGTCAGCAATAAAAAGTAGCCATCCCTGCAGGGATTAGCCCAACGCTATCACTGCAGCCTTCCTAACTTGTTCGATGAAGACCAGCAGGGACTCGCGGTTGTTCTCCCACTCGTGGGCCAGCTCGCCCTCATGGGGGAATTTGTCACAGCCCACGAAGACGGACAGCTCAAGGCAGTTGGTGTGCAGGTAACTGAAGTCATTCATGCCTGAGAGATGAAAGGGATTGTTTTAGCCAAGTGCTGCGTGGTGTAGCCCTGGACAGACCATAAGGCACTCCCTTAGGGGGGGCAACTTACTGTGTTTACTGTGCAGCTACGAGCTAAAGTATCAAAGGGTCATATAATGTGGGCAAAGACACTCCTCACTTAATGACCTACCTGTTTAACGACCGCCTGGACTTACAATCAGCTCTCCGACCACTCAGCATCGTATGCTGTAGGAGAACTTTGGTCGTGGAGGCGACAGCACGGCTCAGCATCAAGCATCTCATCTCGCATTAACTTTTCTAAGTCTCAGTCTCAATCCCGCAGTCACTCAGTCTTCACTACACTAGCGTTTGCGATCTCCAAGACTGCGTATTTCGTTTATAAATTAGCACTTTTTTTTTTTGCGTATTTAAAAAAATATACTAAAAATGTTATAAATGGTGCAAAAAGTGACATTAAAACAATACCTAAAGATGGTTGATACAAACCCACTACCAGTAAGTATCGGTAAGGGGTGGCTCCTCGCCTATCGACCAGTTTGCTTAACAGCATAGTCATAGGAATGGAACTCAAGTGTTAAATTGCGTCTGAAATAATGTCACTACAGGAAGTTCAAGTGAGGCAGAGATTGTAAGTGTGTTGTATTGTATTGGAGCCCCCAAACATACATCATGAAGGCTAATGCCTGTGCAATGTTGTGGTCTAGTCTAGTAATCTATGTATTTTCCCAGAACATGTGGCCCATCCATGACCACTTATCCAGTACAGGGTTGTTGTAATACTGGAGAACATCCAAGGAAACATGGTGCAGGGCATGGGACAGTCCAAATGGGAGTCCAGTAGATTGCACACTATGGGCAATATCAGATCTACCCACATAGACCATGTATGGGCAACGTCAGATCTACCAACATAGACCATGACATATACACTCTACACATACAGCACCTAGACTGGGAACAACACCCAACCTTGGGGTATGAGGCCACAGTGCCGCCTGAACGCTGCAGCATGACACCGCATGTATAAAATGATATGTAATTAATGTAGGGAGGGGTTCTATGCTTACACGTTTGGTTTTCAGCTGCTTTCATCGTGTCGAGGTTGCAAAGGTGAGTTGTAGATTTAGCTAATTTCTCATACTTACTGCCCACGACAGGCTTCCAGCTGGCACGGTTGATGATGCCCTGGCCAGTAGTGAGATCATCAGTGTGACAGGAGCCGCGGTAGGTCTCCGTCATGGTGAGGTGGCTAGAAGAGTAGGACGTGGCCAACCACCTGAACATAGCGTCGTCTGGGGTCTCCCTCAGCCCCTCCTCTCGCTGCCAGTGTGCCCGGGCCCAGGCGTCCTCATTCATCTCCTCCTCTGCCTCCTGACCCCCCCTGCCCCTCCCGTCAAGGCTCCTCGTTGTCATCTTGGGAGGGCGCTGCATGTCGAACGGGTAGGTTATAAGCTTCTCTCCTCCTTGAATGTTGGCCCCCAGCACAAATGGGTGCTTCTCCATCCAGGCGATGATGGCTCGCGTTTCCACGGCAACCTGAGAAGCACACAGTTGCACGCACACAACAGACATTGAGATCTGTGATCAAAACGAATAAATAAAAAGAGCATTTCAAAAATGACCAATCACTGTAGGTCTATAACTGCAGCTTCTGAAATGATTGGTTAAGAACCATTTAGGCCCATGCTGTCAGCCCAGATCAGAGCTATAAACTCTTTGATTCCCATTTGCTCCCCTGTTCCATACCCACACCCACCGAGCCATTGTCTGACTGGTAGTTTTCTGGGATGGGGATGTGGTGGTTAGGGACATAACGGGGGACCCAGCCCCTGTCTTCTGCCCCCCACAGGATGCTGTTGAGGTCCGGGAAGTTCACAAAGATGTCGTAGCCCTCTTCTGTCCAGTGTCCCAAAGCCCAGTTGCCCATCTCAGAGCCCTGGGCCACAGAAACGACGAAGAGGGTCTAACTTAGCTGACACACTGCAGCAGAAACTGAGCTGAAAATGACATTGAGGATGAACGTGCAGAGAGCCGCTTCCTGACCATCTCATAGGCCAGCTCATAGGCGTCAGGGTTGAGCGAGGGCACTAGGTGGATGCGCACTCCGTCCACCAGGCGGCGCACTCGAGGGTTGTCGTCGTTGTACTCCCTGCACAGGAACTGCATAAGTAGCAGCAGCAGCTCCCGGCCCAGCACCTCGTTCCCATGGAGACCGGCCGTGTACCGGAACTCGGGTTCACCTGCCAGAGAGCAATCAGCCTCACTTCAGCACTGCTTAGGGTCTATATCCTCACCTGTTTCACTCAGTATAACAGACATGGCATGTCGTGATTATGTGGAATGGTGACAGCTACTCGGGTGACAGCTATGTCAGTGTTGTTCTGTAAAGGGAGGTGATCTCCACAGATGCAGGAATCCAGAGAGATCTGTGCAGATGACGTGTGTGGGATTCTGAGCTGCTGCCACTGTGCGTTTCCCCGTCAGGTGTCCCTGTAGCATGGTACCTGTCTCGTGTTCCCCGGGGTTGTCGGAGATCTCCATTGCATACATCTTCAGCCCCTGGGAGCTCTTTCCGATGTTGTAGATCCTGGTGATGTTGGGGCACTCCTCATTCACCACTTTCATTAACTGGGGTGGGGTGGGGGGCAACAGAGGCAGTGGTGGAGTTGCAGGAAATGAAGGAAGGTGAGACTTCAGGTGAGATGTTAAGCTCTACAGACCATGGTACATGGTAGTAACCCATTTACATTCTACATGCACACAGTCGTTGGTATTATACCAAGCAGAACCCTTTCATGAGATCCAAAGTTGGGTCAGTGAGAAGGATGACTGGTGGTCTTCCAAGGTTTTCAATGCTCTTGTATAAATAGCCCTGCCACCACAAAATATCTGGTATTTTCATGCGTCTTAGTCTTTACCCAACTCAGTCTCCCATAATTTCTGTTTCCCTCAGTAAAGATCCAGATCCCTGCCCAGTCCAGTGTCACTTGCTTCTGTTCTTGATTGCATGGGGGTCATACCTGTCTCATCTCCTTGTAGTTGTGGTGCTTGAATTCCAAGTAATCTACGGGTGTGACCTCATTCTCACTGAAGTAGTAGGTGTCTGTTGGGAGATAAGAGAACCAGAATGTTCACAGGTGAGCTCACAGACTTGTTAGTCCCAGCATCTAACACACTCAAATGTCAGGAGCATTTTGATTGGACCCAAGGACCCAGGCTTCTCTAGCCAAAATGCTTCACAGAAGTCAAATACGCTACCCTGCCAAAAAAAAAAGTCGCCATTTGAATTTTTCATTGGACCACCTTTAGCTTTGATTATGGCGCACATTTGTCATGACATTGTTTCCACAAGCTTATACAACATCTCATGTTTTATGTTCATCCAGATTTGCATTAATTTCTCACTGAGATCCTGTATTGACAAGTGAGTTGAACCACTTCATAAAGCCTCCTTCATCACATCCCAAAGACCAGTGAGGTTAAGGTCACAACTCTGTGGTGACCAAGTCATGCGTGAAAATGATTCCTCATGCTCCCTGAACCACTCTTTGACAATTTGAACCCAATGAATCTTGGCATTCTTGTCCTGGAATATGCCCATGCCAACAGGGAAGAAAAAATGGATGGATGGAGGTGTAACCTGACCAGTAGATTCAGGTTCTCAGCTGACTTCACTTTATTGCTGCATAACGTTGCTGAGCTGTAATAATGATCCAGTTATTGGCTCTGAAGTATTTGCTGATATAAATTCAAATGGCGACTTTTTTTGGCCAGTCAGTGTATAAATTAGTAACAAAAATATGTATCTCCAACAATACATTATTTCAGAAGCATGAATAAAATGCATTTGGTCAGAAAATACTTGTAAACGAAAACAATGTAATGAGACACCCTTAGTACTACAATCGGAAGTTTATTTTACACAGTCATCACTGAGCAACATGCTTAAATGGACTTGCGTGAATTGTTGTCAGCGAGGCAAATATGTCAGTGTCAACAAGATACAAACTAGTCTCACTTTATATTCACAATTATCAATCATGTTAGTTAGTCTGATATCTAACTATCAGTGGTAAATTGTTAAAATGAGTGGTATAGGTAAGAAATCTATACAAACAACAGAGGTGAATAGTTCAGGTCCAGAAAGTAAAAATCCAGACCAAGATTTTGTTTCAACCAACCAGTTGAGTATTCTGTGACTGTGACTCTTTATACTGAATGGGTTGGTTGAAACAAAATTTTAGTCTGGATTTTTACTTTCTGGACCTGAACTATCCACGTCTGATAAATGACCAGCATAAATACAAATGTTACCTAGTCCAAACATAAATCTTCTTATACAGATGACTTCATAAAACATCTTTTCATTGGTCAATTAGATATGAAATGCTAGTAGTAGATAGAGGAAAATGGGCGTATATCAAAGTCGCAATCGTCATAAGGTGGGTATACATATTTCCCATCAAACAGCGACAATACAGATGCTCCTCTACTTAGGAACTTTCAACTTACAAACTTTCAGACATCAGAACGAAGAGGACTGTAAGTCCAAATTGTGTTCATTGGGCTCCCGTTTCCTGTCCGCAACATCAATTTTTTTTTCTGCACGCCAATCCCGCCTAGTACGACTTCTGGCCACTACTCCCATCGCGCAGCAGCATAGCGTGCAAACTCCCAGCATCCTAGCTCTTTGTACTTGCGTATTACCCTTAAGATGATGTTGAATAACGAGTTACGAACATTTCAAGTTACGTCTGTTTATCATGATGGAAAGCAGGGAACATTGTGGTTAAGAGAAGAGCAACTTGAGAGGACTCTTGCTGTTGTATGTTTTTGTGGGATATTACACATGGTTTGTGGGACTTATCGATGTCAGTCAGAGAACATGAAGATAGACCAAAAAATGTTCAGTTGAGTTTAGCATCTGTCCTAACAGGTGTTCAGCAACCTAAAGGGTGATTTTATTTAGGTGTAATTCTATGTATGTAAGCAGTTGATTGTTCAGATGTTAATTTCTGTCTTTTTTACCATATAAGTCTAGAGTAGGGTGCCTAAGTATCACCGCGGTGCCGCTGAGGGCGGGTCGTCACTCACTGGGCAGCGGGCAGGCCAGCACCTCCAGTCGCATGCAGAGGCTCCCATTCCAGCTCTGCGGCAGGATGCGGATGTAGCGCGCCACCACAGGCTCTGCGAATTGCGCTTGCACCGGTGTGTCCTTGTCGACATTCCCGAAGAACAGCTTGGGGTAGTTTGAGTGGAAGGAGGGACAAAGGAAGTACGTCTGTCAGCCGCGATCGTTTGATAGCCCACAGGATGGAGCTCAGCCTTTTCATACTGTACTCGTTATTACTTCTGAATTCTTGACTTTTAATTAATATTACTTCTGTAATAATACTTCACAGAAGAGGGTCTTATTGGTTATGGAGCAGCTTCGAAGCCGTAAAGGAGACTCACCCATTCTGCATATCCATCATGAAGCACAGTCCAGTCTCGGCTATCATTGCTGAAGGCCACATGGTAAGAGGTGACGAAGTCTTCACTATAGCCAAGGGAGAAATGGCAAACACAGGCCTGATTTCCTGTACTAGCCATGACCAGACTTTTTCATTGAAGGAAACAGCACCCTGCTTACTGGATTGGAGAATCCCTGCCCTGGAGGATGATCCCGCTGAACTGGACCTCTCGGCGGGCGTCCACCTCCAGCCAGTGGTCCCGTTCCTCTGGGTCGGCGCACCAGGCCCCGCCGTACATGTTGTCTTTGTCATCCAGACCCTGCAGACATAAGACTTTACATAATATTCCCATGTAACAATACTGTGAGATTTGGGGGCATAATCTTCGGCGGGGGTGAGGTCAGGTGACAAGCCCATTCATTCCCTTCCCCTGTGCCTCATTGCCAGATCGGCTTATTGTGTCTTTCCAGCAGAACACACACCCAGACCCTGAAGCCTAGTCCCACATGCAGCTGTAGCCTAACCCTAACCCAACACCCAACACTGTTCCCTGTGTCTTTGCTCTTTGATTCTGTTTTCATTCCTCTCCACAATTTGGATAAATCCCTTCTCCACACACGATGTTTAATCTTCATTAAAACTACTCCTCATTTCTCTGCTAAACTTTAATAAAAGTAAAGGTACTTGTGATTGACACCTCCATGTGTGAGATGAGCACCACATGAAGGTCAGTACCTCCCTCCCGCGATGGGCCCCGTGATTGTTACTGGTACATATGGGAGCCAGCGGGGCTGTTATACGTGGCAGAGACTATGCTGGGATGGGGCCGTGGATCAGACCGCAGTCACCCATGACCTGGGGGAGGGGAAGGTTGCAGGTGACGTCCCACCTGCATGTTTAGGCGTCCCCGATGAGGGCCAAAGCCATGGTCAGACATGGAGGAGGCCAGCAGCTGGTCACTGTCCACGCGGTGAGACTCCAGCCCCAAAGGCGGGCAGACTGTGGGGGAGGGTGGCAGAAGGAAACATCACTCTACCTTACGTTTCAACTGGCAAGCACATGTTGACACACGCAGTGAGCCAAAATGGCCGCTCATCCAAAAAGTCTCACCACTTAAACAAGTTGTAAATAAATCCATTTTAAAGGAAATAACATAAATTCTGGTGCTCCTTTGTGTCCAACCCTGACTAAAACTGTCCAGAACAACTAAGCTACAGTGAAAAGAGTTGATTTGTGCGATACTACATCGAAAAATGCAACACTGTTCTAGAACCAAGTGAATGGGTTTAAGATGGGTGTATGTAAGTCTCTACTTATTGTGTTAAAGATAAAGTAAATTTTGCACTGGTTGCTAATGAACCTTATTTGGCGCAACACATTAGTAAAATATTGGGATCCTTCACAAGAATACACAGACACACTTTAGAAATGACCTGAAATCCTGAGGACATGAAAGATATCAGCTGTCCTGGGTTACCTGGTGATGCTACCATTCCGTGGGGGGGGGGGGTGAACACCCCTCCTCAGGGACCAGTGCACAGAGGCTGGTGAGGTTACTCACAGCCACGGTGCTGTTTATTTGGGAGAGAATAAATTTGGGGTGTGCTTTGATTTACACCCCAAAACTCAGCTTTTATTTTACTCAGATAGTAGGGGTGAGCAGCTGAAGACACATAATCTTCCTGCACCTACAGCAGCGGGGGTTTCCATGATTGACAGCGCCCACAGAGTCCAGATTTTCAGAAGTGAATTTGTGTTTCAAAGTTACAAAGTGCAGATTTAATCAGGTGCGATTACCACAGCTCACAAGCAGCACACAGCCTGCGATCCTCACAGCTCACAAGCAGCGCACAGCCTGCGATTCCCACAGCTCACAAGCAGCGCACAGCCTGCGATTCCCACAGCTC